GAATAGCGGTCCGAGATCGGCGCAACCATTGTATTCTCTCAATCGTGGAATTTTCCCAACTGTGTGGGAGCCATAGACGGCAAACACATACGAATAAAATCACCTAATAACAGTGGGTCCTTGTTTTTTAACTATAAGGAGTATTATTCGATGGTTTTGTTGGCGATTGTCGATGCAGATTGCAAATTTGTGGCAGTAGATGTTGAGTCATATGGCGGGGAGGGGGATGCAGGTAACTTTAAATACACTGAGTTATTGTGGAAAAGTTTTTGTCACAAACTATTCTTGGCAGGAATTTATTTAAAAAGCAACATTGGTCACAGAAAACAAAATAATGAATTCAAATTCCCAGCAACTCGCCCTCTTCCTGAAGCCACAGAAGCTGAGCCTTATGTGTTTGACGGAGATGAAGCTTTTGCATTGCACGAACGTTTGATGAAACCATATCCTAGAAGGCTATCACTATCTGACAAATCTAAAGCTGTATTATCGTCTTTCTCGAGCACGGAGACCCACGGAAAATGCTTTTGGAATATTGTGTGCATATTTCCGAATATTTTTCCAGCCTATCGCAACCGCACCAGAAGTTACCGACAACCTCATCACTAGTGCATGTATATTGCATAACATTGTACGAGATGCCAATATTCCCCTTCCAACGCAAATTACAGTGATATACTACCTCTAGCAGAAAACAATTTAGTACCACTGTCTCAAAATAATACCCGAGGATACGCGAAGAATTTAAAGAGTATTTCAATAGTATTGGCGCGGTGGAATGGCAGGACCATTATTGTGTAAATAATTGAACTTATTTTATAAATCTAACACTTGGTTACTTTATAGTTGTCCCCGAAATAATAGGAATGTTATAATTTGACCAGGTTTGACTATTTTCCTGTTTGTTTAATGTTTATTATTTTTTTATAAAAGTCTAGCTGGTAGTACAACAAACACCATACAAATTAACATTTCAAACTTTGTAGAAAAATTATAAAAATCATGCAAAATTTCACCAAAATTTCAAACTTTGTAATAAGGTTTGTAATCAAAGTATCGCATTGTGGTCAAAGTATCGCACTCCTACTATTTCGTGGACAACTGTACGTATAAATGTACAAACATAAATTGTTGAATTTTTGTGTTATGCCTTGTAGTCTTAGCACT